ACGCGTGGGCACGGAGCTGCCAGCCCTGCTCCGCCGCTGTGGGAAGCAGCAGGGCTGCGGCTGGGCCACGCCAGCCCCGACGGACACGCCAGTCTCAACAGACGGACCAGTCCCGACAGACGGACCAGTCCATAGCCATGCCAGTGGCTGGGCCATGCCAGTCCCGACAGACACACCAGTTCCAACAGACACGGCTGCGGCTGGGACACACCAGTTCCTAGACACGCCAGTCCCGACAGACACGCCAGTCCCGACAGACACGCCAGTTCAATTCCTACCTGGGCAGGGCTCCGTGTCTTCGCGGTGAGGATGGCGATGGAGGCAGGAGGGGTCGTTGGGGGGCTCTCGACTTTTTTTTTGCCGACGGGTCCGTCGGTGAGACAGCGGCTGCGGGGGCTTCCCTGCAGCTGGGCTGGGGGCACTGGGAGCAGCCCCCAGCTCGCAGGGGACCTCTCTGTAGCCAGTGCCTTCTCTCCTCCTCCAAGGCAGAGGGCTGCGGACGCTGCTCGGGGGATTCACACCAGGAATTCTGTATCCTGCTTGAAAAAGCCAGCAGGGCACTGGCACACCTACTTCCCCCTGAAACCCAACGTGCTGGTTAGTGTAACACCCTCAAAGCTCTGTGAGCTACTGTCAGAATGCTGGGGCAAAGAGGTGCTCTAGGAAAATGGTTTTTACTCGAACACCTGAAAGCCACAGCTGCTGGGACGCCGCCGGGCCGCGTCACCCGGAGCCCGCTGCTCTGCAGAACCTCCCAGCGACAGCAGCGCCCGTTTCAGATGGACGGGCAACCCAGGCCGGACCGCAGCCAGCCACAACTGCCCCTTATCTGCCGTGCTCCAGCGAGATCTGCTTTCCTCTCGACACTTCAGAGCATCCATCAAAGCTCCAGTTTCCCCAGGACTGACGCCCAGTACCACACCTGGACTGTTCCCTCCTAGGCAGCCTCCGTCCACACGCGCCGTCCCGACACCAAACTCCAAACCTCTTCCTAAACGATTCGCACATCTTAAAAATAAAATCCTTTATTGATAATATGAATGTTTAACATGTTTAATGCCATCAGCTATAAAAATGATTAAAGACTTCAGCTTGGTACATTTGGCTTTACAAATTTACAAGTGTTAATGAATTAGTACTAGTGTGTACATTTTGCACTTCATTATACTCCATTAGCCAGTGACAAACTCTGCAACAACGTCTGCTTATAACAGAGGCGAGTTATAGAAGAAATATTTAGTTGCTTCCACACAGAATCTACATCAACAGTTAAATACTAACTCTAAACGTCTTACTGAATTAGCTGGATCCATTTTAATATCTTGTGCTTAGTTTCTCTCAGAAGATAGGTTACTAGCAAAAATACATTCTTTTGCATACCCCCTTCCCATATTATATTTTAGAAGAAACAGTACTCAGTGCATTTCCTAACAGACTTCATCATAGTATATCTCTCTCTATAGAGCTATTGATAAAGACAGGGGCTAATACCATTTCGATTAATGTAAAAGCAAAGAAACGTTAAAGAGTGTATACAAAAGCCTCACTTTTGAATCTGAAGGGACACGTGGGCCAAAATCCATCTGCCCATCAGTTTCTAGTCAGTCTCATCACCAGGAAAAATCTGCTGTGGATATGTAAAAGTTAAAAAAGTAAGTACAATGTGTTTCCAGACGAGTCATTGCCCGTCGATCTCTAGGCTGCCTCTGCCTCCCCGCTGTCAGCACGCAGCCTGTTCCCCTGGATCAGAACACAGCACGTAACCCCGCCGTCCAACAGGCTGGCGCGCAGCAC